AGCTGGAATCAGGGACTGGGTAGTGTTGAAATGAAATGCCAGAGCCATCCGTTATGGGCGTCCAGGAGGGCTCCCTGGCTGTAAGAGCACAGTGACCCTGTGATGCTGAAAGGGACTCGTTTCTCCTGACATAACATGGCTGGAGAAGCTCCAGCTCTGGAATTTTATCATGCTTTTTCATGCTGGTGGTTCAGCCAGCCCATGGGAAATTGGACTTGGGCAGGGCTGCCTGGCAACAAATCCAAACTGAAATAGGAATCAGCCCTTTAAGGCCAACTGTGAAAATGTACGTGGATCCACAACCCGGATGCCTAAAAGACGTTGGGAGTGTTGGAAGTGGAATCAAGAAAACTTTGAGTGGCATGCTGAAAACACCACTTATGCACCCTAGCAGTTCTGTCTGTGTACTGAGGTTGGACTGTGGGAAGGGCCATTAAACGTCTTCTCGGGCCAGTAAAAAATGTCAGAGGCACAGCGTGTTAAGGAATCTATTTTCAAAGCTGTTTTAGATTTTTTGCTTCATTGATATATTCATTTTTTGAAAAAGAAATGGTAGCCCTTCTATGAGGCAAAGTAGCTAGCTTTAAGTGTGCTTCTGGGATGTATCAATCATTGATTACTTACCTCTTCTGATACTCAGACACTCCCAGAAGCTAGGCCTCCTAAGCCCAAGGGAAGGCTGAAGCTGCAAAGGGAGTGTCGGGATCATCCATCGCAGTGGTTCTCAGCTTGGTCCCACATTGGAATCACTTGGGGATATTATAGAAATACTGATCCCAGGGCACCATTCCAGACCAATTAAATCAGAGTGTGTAGGGGAGCCGCCTGGACATCGGTATGTTTTGACACCTCCCTAGGCATTCTGCTGTGCAGCCAAGTTTGAGAAGCATCAAGCTAGACTAATTTTACCTCTGAATAAATTGAGGCCCAGAGAGATGGAATAGCTTACCCAAATCATGTAGCTAGTTAGTGTCAAAATCAGAATCTTGTTTAGCCTTCTTATGTCACGTTAAGTTGCTTCTCTTTATTGTGGTTTTGCCATAAATTAAAAGCACACTTCAAAATGTAAGTTTATGAAGTGCCTTTAAGAAATGTATTTCATTTTAAGGCAAACAGTAATTTAATCACCAACGCACTGATGCTTTTCTACGTGATCTTCTGACAGGTGTGAATATTTATCGTCTTTGGGGCCAGCTGAGTCAAACTCTGGCTCTTTTGCTGCTTCTCCATGGCTGGCCCATCATGCTGGCATTCTCTGGAAACCTTGCACACTCCTTTGATTCAATTTGTTAATGGAAAACACCCTCCATGAACCTCTTGCTGGCGATACTTATCTACCAGAGAAACATTTTTCACAGAACTCACTTCATCTGGGGACCATGTGTCCAGGAGAGCTATCATTTTTGGCAAAGGTCACATCCAGACACATGTGCCAGCATTACCCTATAAGACATCTGGTTACCAACTAAGTGACTGTCTTGTACATCAGCAGCCAGCCATGGAAACTTACTATTTTTTGTCCAGCCCAACATATTTTCACATTGTGACTAAAATGCGTAGCCAGGCTTACCAACAATACCATTTAATCACATTTCACAGACAAGACTTGAAAGTGTTCTGGTCTCTATATGAAAAATTTGAATTTCTTCTTGTGTTAAAAAAATGGAATAATCTATGATGTAAATTTCAAGCATTTAGAGAAATTGCCTTATTCAAACTAATGGTCTTCCACCCTGGTCACATTAGACTCACCTGGGAGATTTAAAAAAATACTGTGGTGGGGCTGGCCCAGTGGAGTAGTGATTAAGTTCGTGCGCTCTGCTTTGGCGGCCCTGGATTTGTGGGTTCGGATCCCAAGCGCAGATCTACACACTGCTCCTCAAGCCATGCTGTGGCGGTGTCCCACATACAAAATAAAGGAAGATTGGCAACAGATGTTAGCTCAGGGCCAATCTTCCTCACCAAAAAAAATGCTGTCACCTGGGGCCCACCATAGAGATACTGATATAATGGGTCTGGGGTGGGGCCCAAGCAGGAACATTTTCGAATGCTCCTCAGCTGAGTCTCATGTGCAGCATGGGTTGAGAACTACCCCACCTGACTCTGACTATAGAACAGGGCTCTGAGCTCTGAAGTTTTCACTGTGACCTTAGTGCTATAGCAATTTCATTTCATTTTATTTATTCAACAAATTTATGTTTAAGAGGGAAAATATTTTTGAAATATTTCCCTAGGTATCTTTCCTCCCAATAGTTTATATACTTTTTTCTTCACCTTTGCAACCTTATTATGGCTAAAGCAGAGATTTATCACTCCTGGGAAGGAGAAGGTGGGTACTGCCAAGAACAGTGATTTGCAACCCTAGATGCCTTTTAGAACCACTTGGGAAGCTTTAAAAATTGCTGGTGCCTGGGATCCACTCCAGACTAATTAAATCAGAATTTGGGGGGGATGGGCCCAGGGATTACTATAAAAGTACTCCAGACATAACACTTTTCTGTTAGGCAGCCAAGGTTGAGAACGATGGATCTAGTAAGAAATGGATGACTTGTCAACTTAAAATAAGATCCTTATTTCCTAAAATCTTGCATATTCTAACCCAAACTTTTGAAATTCAGGGGAAATGATCTACTTACCTGTAGTTGGAAGACATAGAGGTTAGTTTTATTATTGACAATATGATTTAACAATGAAAGCCAATAAATATTTATTGAGCACCTACTATACGCAAGGAAACTGTGATTAAAAACAACTCCTGGGAACTGTTTGTTTGTTCACTTTGGGTCAGAAAGGAGTCCAGGGTGGATGTATGAGTCTGAGTCCCAGTGGGAAAGAGATGGCACACTCAAACTGGATAACTGAGTAGGACTTAATAAAGGGACTGTTTGTCATGATACGAGCAGGGTTTAGGGAAACCCACAAGGAGAGATGCAGTATCCTAGGGCTGGCTAGTAACAGTGGGAGTCATCAGTATTCCTGGGCCTGAAGGGGCTATGCAGACTAGCTGTATTGGGAGGGCTCCCTGAAGATGCAGTGAACTTCTGGAGAAGGATGCAGCCAATCCCATAAAGACCCTGTCTGTATAGGATAATTATAATGGAGTTTCCTGTCTCCTGCAGCTGAGAGTCCTAAGCAATACAGAAACTGGTACTGGGGGTGAGGAGATGCAAGTGACAGATCCTACATTTTGGGGCTGGATAAATGGAGGTGGGAAGTGGAGAGGAACCCCTAAATCTGGATTAGAAAGCTGGTGGTAACCTAATAGTTTAACAACTCCTGCCTCAGTTTCTTGGGACTCAGCCTACGGTCTCGCCATGGCTGGAGCATCTAGCAGCAGCATAGAAAATGTCAGGACATCATTCATTCATTTATGCCTTTATTCACTCTATTAAATCAAGAAATACTTACTGAACGGCTACCAAGTGCCAGGCACTGTTTGAGGATGTTAGAGGCTGGCTTCTCGCACCAGGGGCTGGAGCAGCAATGGAGAAGCAGCATAGAAGCCCATGTTTGAGTCAACTGGCCACGAACACAGTGAACATTCTCACCTGTCAGAAGATCACGTAGGAAAGCACCAGTGCATTGGTGGGTAGATCACTGCCTTAATTCAATTTCTTTCTTTTTTTTTTTTGAGAGGAAGATTAACCCTGAGCTAACATCCAATGCCAATCCTGCTCTTTTTGCTGAGGAAGACTGGCCCTTGGCTAACATCTCTGCCCATCTTCGTTTACTTTATATGGGACGCCGCCACAGCATGGCTTGGCAAGCGGTGCGTTGGTGTGCGCCGGGAATCCGAACCTGCGAACCCCGGGCAGTCAAAGCGGAGCGTGCGCTCTTAACCACTGTGCCACCGGGCCAGCCCTAATTCCATTTCTTAAAAGTATTTTGTAAACTTATTTTGAATTATGCTTTTAATTTACGGTAAAACTGCAATAAAGAGAAACAACTTGGTGTGGAATAACAGTGCTCAATAAGAATTTGGTTTGACCTTAACTAGCCATATAGCATCCTAATATTATTTTGGAAATTTCTATTTTTATTTTCCTAGATGTAGAGATGTGACTTGGGCACTGTAGGGGGGAAAGATGCTACTGAAAAAATGTAAGAGAGGAAATGGGGGGGGTCTCCGGAATAAGAGAGAGATTATAATTCATTTAAAAATACGTTTATTGGATGCCTACCGTGAGCAGACACAGGGCGAGGTGGCGGGGATCCCGAAACAACGACAGAATCCTTGCCTTGAAGGAGGCTGGGGTTTCATGGAGATTCAAGTGAGCACCAGGAGGCAAAGAAATAGTGACATCGTTTACCTGGGGGTGGTGGAGTCATCCCTTTGGAATCTCTTGAAAGTGGCTCAGTTGTTTTAAAGAGAAGGAATTGACTACATGCCAAATTCTAGCCTGAATATTTGTGACTTGTGTGCTTTTGTGTGTGTGTGTGCACCCATGTGCATGCCTGCACACTCATTCTTCATATAGAAAGAATTCTGTACTGGGATGAAGTTGAGGAAGGAGGCGGAATCAATAGCTTTTTTCCTAATGTTTTTCTGATACAAACATAAGTGGAAACCCAACACAGCACAGGCTGCGAAGAAAGGAAGATTCATTAGGTCTAAACTGCTCTCTTCTGGCTCAAAACTAAGTGAGAGCAGCAGGATGTGGGGTTTCAGGACGAGTCCTAGAGTCCAGTGAAATGAATTAAGCTTCACAACTCCTTGGAACAGGAGTCTGTTTTCATGTGAGTTTCCTAACATCTTTTTGGGGAGACTTCAAACAAACGGCTTTAGCATCTGGGGTTTCTCATGGAGTTGGCTTTGCTTTGCTAACATCCGGCACTTCTGCCGAAAGCTTTGAACACCGAAAGTTAAACCAAAGCCCAGAAGGAGGCAAGTGTCCGAAAACATATGGCGGCCTAAGAGGTTAATGTGCTCCTCTCTGTCTCTGTCATATTGTACATACTTTCAGTCCTGACTTTTAGTAAGTGACCTTTAGCTGCGATGAGAGGGTCTGTCACTCTTACAGTTGACAGCTATGGAGATTCATTCCAAACAGAGCAACAGTTACAGGTTCAAGGGGCAGGATCCTTGGCTCATGCTAGTTTTTGTGAGGGGGGAACAGTACCATGGGAGGCAGATGCTCCGCTAGCGGTATCTTGTCATTGCTCAACCTCAGCGGGAACCCGAGACTGAGCTGGGTTTCAGAAGGAGGAGCAGAGGAGAGGGACTGAGGTGGTTGTTAACATTTATTTGGGCACATTGCAGAGTTGCCTTTTGAAGGGATGTTTTGAAAGATATTGGAAAGGAATAGGAACGGATCCCTTTATAACCTTGGGGTTTGATGTTATCTCACTTCCTATATACACAAAGGTATCGTTATTGTGGGTGGATGCCACTTAAACCACACAAGCTTTCTTTCTGAGTGTACCCAGGGTGACTTTGCTGTGTTAATGTGGCCCCATAGGCAAGGGGAGATGAACAGGGACCACCGCTCTCAAGGTCATCCTAGCATCTCTAGCCCTGCTGTTGTCAAGCCTCTGACCTTCTTTCGCTTCTGACATGTATCCTGAACTTCAGGTGACCTATATTTAGATTATGTAAAAAGGACAGAAAGCAAATGCCCTTTTTGCTCTAAGGTCAGAGTTCAGCTGTGCTTGATAATGCCACTTTGATCTCCAGGACCCTGCCTGTCGAGATGTATGGTGTCTGTCATCTAACTTCGCCCTGTACTTGATCGTTTGCTTGCCTGGACCTGTGGTTACTGCCAAGATCTAATCCCTCAGCATGTCACCTCTGGCAAAAAAAAAAAAAAGAAAAAAAACTCCTAAAAGCCTGAGACTCAGACATTCCGGATTCTGCTCTGGCCCCTTACAAAGGCATTTAATATGAAGGCTTTTTAAAATAAAAAACAAGAGGGCAAAGAAGAGTTTTTAAGAGGATATTGCAAATAAATTATAGGATCAATGATGCAGGACTGGGTAACAGCAGTTTTTGGCCAGAGTTTGATAGCAGGCACTTGGAATCCCAACTGGGTGAAACGGAGAGATTATTTGCTGTAGCTCCCTGTTTTGGGGTGGATGACCCCCGAATGATCAAAGACAGATGCTTATCTCCTGTCCTCTTGAGAATTTCTCAGCGTGCTTTCCTTTGATTTGCTCATTTTGATACTTTATCACCCTGGCAGCTAAAAAGTGCTTCCTCATGTCCAGCTGGAATCTTTGCTACTTCATTTAAAAATCTATTTTCCATCCCTCGTCAATTTTGGTTATTTTTTATGGATCCTTTCCAGATGTGCACAAGGTTTTCACAATGTGGTGAACCAACTTGGACGCAATACTCTTCTAAGGATCTGACTGCTGCATGCAATTTTGGAAACATTGGACTAGCAATCAGGAAGACCCTAGTCTGCTGCCTGCCAAGAAGCAATTGTTTGACCTTGGACAAGTCACTTCTCCTGTCTGGGCCTCACGCTCTTCATCTCTAAAGTGAGGGAATCAGACCACACAATCTCTAAGATTTCTTCCAGCTCTGATGATTGTGTTCAATAATTTGTTAAAAACGCCAGGTCTCAAACAATGAATCTGTGCTCAGCATGTAATAGATACACAATAAATATTTGTCAAACAGAATTAAATCATAGGGATTTCCACTGAAGGTTTCTCTCAGCATTCACTAAACCTTTTAATAACCTCGATGCCTCTGTCCCTCCCAGGAGTGGCATATCTCTTTTGTGGAAATAGGAACCGGAGAGCAGTGGTGACATGGCTTCTTCATAAAGGGCAGCAGGTGCTCGGCATAGGAGTAGTCAGGATTCTCAGGCTCCACTGACAACCGGGCCCAACCCGTTTCTAGTCACTTCTTTGCTGCTATAGCCAATCTATTAAAATGACTCTGTGATTCTAGCAAGAAAACAAGTGCCCATGAGGAAGAAGTTCTAAATACATCCAATTATAAATATATCCCATCAAAAATAGATATCGACAAGCAGCTCCAGACAGAGTTGTGCTCGGCAAACCGAGCTGAGGAGAGAAAAGTAGCCTATTATCCAGAAAGCAATAACACGGTCTTAAACGATTCTTTAGCAATATCTTTGAGGTTGTATATGGCTCTTAATTAACTACTAAATAGGGTGGTCAGAGAAGGATTCATCTTGGAAAGTCCAGTAAAGATAGAATTAGGACTTAATCAATACTTTTCTTCTCTGTGTTGCAGGACTTACACACAGTGAAGATTTAGGGGTGACTGTGTTCCCGGGAGGACAGAATTTTGAAAGATGGGGTGGCATGTGGTCCCTAACACCCTTGGTCTTTAAAAGCTGCCGGAGATCCCCTTGGGGGTGGCAGAGGGAACCACAGACCTGGAGTTAGAGGCCTAGGATTTCACCCTGGATCCAGCATGTCCTAACTGGGTGACTTTGGGGAAACCAGTTAACTTCTTTTGAGCCTCAGGTTTGCATTAACAATTAAATGAAGTAATATATGAGAAAGCAACCTAGCATAGTATCTGGCGTGTGGGAAAAACTCAGTTGTTCGTTGCTTATGATGACTGTCTGGGGTCAGGACTGATGCAGGAACAAAACAGGGACATAACGGGCATGTGCTGCAGCTGAGAACCTTCTAGGATGCCTCATTCAGACCACGTGAAGAGCTCCTTTCCCCATTGTATTAGTTTGCTAGGGCTGCCATGACAAAATACCACAGACTGGGTGGCTCAAACAGCAGAAATCTATTTTTCTCACAGTTCTGGAGGCTAGAAGTTTGAGACCAAGGTGCTGGCAGGGTGGATTTCCTTTGAGACCTCTCTTCTTGGCTCATAGATGGCCGCCCTATTGCTGCCTCTTCACGTGGTCCCTCTCTGAGCACCCCTGGTATCTCTCTGTATGTCCTAATCTCCTCTTCTTATAACGATACCAGTCAGATTGGATTAGGGCCCACACTAACAGTCTTGTTTCAACTTAATCGTCTCTTTAAAGGCCCTATCTCCACAGTCGCATTCTGAGGTATGGGGGGTTAGGACTTCAACGTCGGAGTTTGGGGGTGGGGGGGGAGACAAAGTTCAGTCCACAACACCCAGGAACTCACTGAGCCTGCATGAGGAGCTAAAATCCCCTGGCTGTGTGGTCTTTGCAGTCCAGCTGCCACATGAGACTCTACGCTCAAGGCCAGTCCTCCCTTGTCCCCTCCCTTCCTTTCCTCTTTCTGGGAGGAAAACTCAAGCTAACACCTCCATTTAGATGAGTGAATACCTCTCCTTTTCAGATTCTTCACCTGTGGTTGCTCAGGTTTATCAGCAAGGACACTGAAGCCCCTGGGTTCTTGGGGGAGCCCCTGGGCATTTGGGGGGAGACTCTTAAAACCACTTCATAAAATGGCTTCTGAGCACTGACGGCCGTACTGTTAGCTGGCCTATGTAAGGCCGTGAGACAGAATGCCAGAAGCACACCCCAAGGAGACTGAAGGGGGTTCCCCTCCTCGGAGGCTTTCTCCTTTCTTCCCTCAGCACTGCTCCTACATGGTGAGTCATCCAGAATTCCATACACCCAGCCAGATGTTTGGAACACAAGAAATAATCACAGCCAGAGGCATCTTGGCCCAATCTCAATCTCTCAATCTCTCTCTCTCTCTCTCTGTTTTATTGCTCATCTCCCAAGTTACCTCTTTTTTCCCCTGCCCATTCCTATCCCTCTCAAGGCTTAATTTGGGTATCTGGAGATGTTGGACCTTTGTCAGTCGATATCTGACTTATCAAAAAGTTAGTATTTACCAAACTAACAGTTATATCAAAGCCCTTAAGCTGTGTTTCTTCCTTAAGGCACAATGACTTTCCTTGCTGTAATTCTTCCCTAGAGTATTAACTTCTCGTGAACAGGGACTATGTTTTACTCCTACAACCCTCAGTATAATGCCTTACACACAGAAATACTCAGACACTTTTTTTCTTTTTGCTACGGAAGATTTGCCCTGAGCTAACATCTGTTGCCAATCTTCCTCTTTTTTTTTTTTAATGTGAACTGCCACCACAGCATGGCCATTGATAGACGAGTGGTGTGGTTCCACGCCTGGGAATTGAACCTGGGCCGCCAAAGCAGAACGCATGGAACTTTAACCACTAGGCCATCAGGGCTGGCCCCTCAGACACTTTTTGAAGAAAGCAATGAAACTTTTAAGAATAATATTACTGTCTGAGAGGTTTAGGCCTGTAGTTAGCTTTAAAGAAAGTTGGTAAGCCCCTCAGTGACCTAAACCTAGAGTTGGAGTGTGCTACCAATGTGGGTGGTGGTGGTTACTCTGGGGATGCAATTTGAACCACTGATCTTAGCTATAGGTGTAGTTTATTTGAAAACCAAACAACAGGGCCGGCGCCGTGGCTTAGTGGTTAAGTGCGTGTGCTCTGCTGCTGGCGGCCCGGGTTCGGATCCCGGGGGCGCACCGACGTACCGCTTCTCTGGCCGTGCTGAGGCCGCGTCCCACATACAGCAACTAGAAGGATGTGCAGCTATGACATACAACTATCTACTGGGGCTTTGGGGAAAAAAATAAATAAATAAATAAAATTATAAAAAAAAAAAAAAAAGAAAACCAAACAACAAATATGACTTCTTTTAATACTAAACTATAAAGCAGATAATCATACAAAGCAGTTTTCATAGACATAAAGGCCTAGGAAAATGCAGAACCTTACTATGATTTTATTATGTTTATGTGTTAAAATTTTTTTCTCCTCTCTTAGCTTTGAAGTTAGCAATTCCCTCTTAAGAAATCACTCTGATATTGAAGTCCCTAAAGTTTCACTGAAGTTAATACCTTCAAGCTTTCTTAAACAGATGGGGGCAGTGGGCTCTGATCCCCACCCTCATCTCCCTTGCTCTTTTTCTTTTCCTCTCTCTGCTATCAGAGGAAAAGGAGGGTAATGAGAAGATTGAATGGATCTGGGTTTCCCATCTCTGACTTTTCCTACACATTTCTCCACTCAGTAGAAATAGGAAACAGATTGGGCACAAGTGTAAAACTTGTGCTCATTCATTCATCCATTCGTTCAACAAATATTTATTAAGCATCTACTATGTCCCAGATATTTTGCCAGGTACAGGCACCACAGGGATGAGAAAGCCACAGTCTCTGCCTGCAGAAATCTCACAGTCTATTGGGGAGTAGAAATACAACCAAATTCTTCATATATAATGATATATTAGAAATATATATGAAGGGCTATGGGAGTTCTGAGGAGGGGTCTCCCTCTGACCATGAAGAGAAGGAAGGTTAGAGATACCGGAACTAGGCTTTGAAGGATGAGTACAGTTTTGCTTGATGGGGAGGAGTAGTAAGGATCATCTAGAACGATGGTACCCAATATGGCACATTTCAAGTGCTCAAAAGCCACTCATGGCTAGTGGCTATCACACTGGACAGGGCAGATATAGAACATTTCCATCACTGCAGAAAGTTCTGTTGGACAGAGCTGCTCTAGAGAGAGGGACCAGCATAATCCTAAGCTCCAGGACATAAAAATCCATATCATCTTCATGGAACAGTGAAAATCTAGTAATCAGAAGGGATTAATGTTGAACTTCATTTAAAAAAATAGAAAATTCTTCTTCCCAACAAGTGTAACGGATGCTAGCAAGTTTGTTGTACGTTCTGGGAAATTTCAATACAGTGGCCTAACAATAGCATTTCTCTTAGTAGCTGAAGGTGGCCTCTGAGAAACCTCCAGCTTTGTAGGCTGCTTGAATTAAAGGGATACATTATTTTCCCCCAGAACAACTTTTTGGAACCAGATTTTAAAGGGAAGGAAGAACTTTCCTTTAAAGGTTTTAAAAGGTAAGTATATATTTAATCCTCAAAGCAAAACCTGTGAAGCAGATACTATTATTTTCCCTGTTGAATAGATGAGAAAATGACTCAGAGGCATCAAGTAACCTGCCAAGGCCCCACAGCTTGGAAGCAGTGAAGTGATGGTTGGAAAATGGGTCTTCCTGCTTCGGAACTCATGCCTTTTCTCTCAAACGGTGTCAGGGCAATAGAACATATCTACTGCTCCAGAGGGTACAATCACAATGCAGCTGTCACCATGACGACCCGCCTGCACATGGCTGACCTCCCTTTCCCAGCATTCTCAGCGAAGATCCAAGCCACCTCTCTTCTAAATGTAAAGGCCCCTTTTCTAGAGAGTCCAGGGCTTCTAAAGATCAGGGGTTCTCAAAGTATGGTCCCTAGAGTAGCAGCAGCACCTAGGAACATGCTAGAAATGCAAACCACTTGGCCTCAGCCTAGACCAACTGAATCAGAAGCTCTGTGTCTGGGCCCAGCCACCTGTGTTTAACAAGCCTTCTAGGGGTTCCGATGCCCTCAGAAGTCTGAGAACCACTGCTGTACCCAAAGTATTTTTACAGTTGAAATCAAGTTAAAATGAACACTAGTAGAAGATTAGTGAGAAAAAAAAGGTAAAAAAAAAAAAAAGTAGATGGGTAAGAAGTTACAAAAAACAAAGGAAGAAAGCTAGAATAAACCCTGTGGTGCTGGGTTAGAGTCAGAGATCTCAGTATGAACTCATTTTAAGTTTAACTATATATAAGCAGGTAGATATAGAACTAATTATAGATATGTATGTATACATAGGTTAGTATATTTAAATATATTTCCCTGCTCTGTCCACTGAGAGGGCCTAGATGCAATGACATTCCAATAGCAGCAAGCACACACAGAAGCCAGATTTTGATTTCTAATTTCCATCCTCCAATAAAAGGAATTTAGGGTCTTTTGGAGAAATGACAGATTCTGGGTGGAGTAGGAAAAAAATACAAGATAAGTCTGGAGCATCTTATAGTTTTAGAAAGTAAAGAAATGCTAAGGAAAAAAAAAGAGAGAATATGTCAAAAAGACAGAGGAGCCAACCTGAAAGAGTTCCTGATGGCCAGATCTGGAACAATTTGAGCAACAAAATAAATAACGAGAGTATTGGATTATAACCCAAAGAATAAAATCAATATCCATGAATCCATGCTGTTCTAAATAAATAAATAGGGAAGAAGGGACAAATATTCCTTACAGAACAATTGTAAATAA